TCTATTATGAATAAAGACATAGAGGGGGGGAAGGGGAAAGTCTATTCTGTTTTAGAAAGGGAAGTGAGGTTCAAAAAGTCATTTCTATCCTGCCATATAATTTACGTGACTTTTGACAAATAAATGTTAGCCACAGTTATGATTCCCTTTTTAAGTTAAACAGAAAGTCTTTTTTAGCAGGAGGGAACAGATGACACTACTGTGTTTAATAACAAATCAGATCCTTCAGTTAGATAAATGCTCATATTGAGCCAACGTAACATTAATATTTCCATTTTCCAATTCATTCAGGACATTTAAAAGATCATCATAATAAACAGTACAATCCTATGGCCATCTGGGATTACTCCCACCGTAAGTAATCACCTATGCAAACTTCCTTAAGAGTAAAACCTGTTGGACCTTCTTATTCAAACTCCATAGAATAACCCTGCCTGTGGTATTTTCTACAACCAAAGTAAGACAAAGCCTGCCACTGTAAAACCAAGAAATAGTCCTGTGGTGCCTTTAACACTCACACAAGCATTGTAACAACTGCTTCAAGCAATTACTGTACATTCTTCCAAGATAAATTAAAAGTATTTTGCTGTGATTAAGTGCTACATTTTGTGGAATATTTAGTTCAGATTCTAGTAGCCCACAATGCAGCTGGTCCAGGAACATTTTAACCCTTTGGAGGCCCTTCTTGACATTTGTAAAGCAGCTTATTTTTAAAAATTCTAGTTTACACTAGAGGCACCTTGCCCTTGGCAAATCACAGGGCTGAGAGAGTTAAACCTGGGAGGAGTGTGTATGCATATGATGTGGGGGAAGGGCCGGAACCAATGAAAACACGGGAGCTATAGTTAGCCCAGGAACAAGATAAGCTGTAGAGACGATTCCAACAAAGCTTTTTTAGATGACACTCTCCTGCACCCTGTCCTCAGCTTACAGGGCATTTAAGCACACACACCTCCCTCCCCCCCCCCAAAAGTCATTCAGATAGTTCCTGCCACTTACCTGGAGTTCGCACCAAGCCACTTCCACCCAGGTCTCCGTGTCCAGCCCCTTGTAGACTGTTTTGAAAGACCCTCTTCCGAGCTCGATATCAAACTTTAGAAACCTGCCATCGGGGGAGGTGGCCACCGCCTTCATGTCGGCCTCTTCCTCCTCATCCTCCGCCTCCTCTTTCTTGGACTTGCTCTGCTCCTTGAGAGATTCCGCCGCCTCTTTCTTCTCCGCATCCTCCTTGCCGCTCCTCTCCTTCGGCTCCTCGGCTGCTGCTGCTGCTGCTGCTGCTGAACTAGGAAGACCCTCCGGGGCGGCGGCCGCTTTCGCCGGCTCGGCGGGCTGCTCCCCGGGCTGCGCCTCTTCCACCACCGGCCTCTGCCCTGCTTTCACCCTCTCAGCGATTATCCTCCTGGTTTTGGAGAAGAGGATGATCTTTTTCTGCTGCGGCTGCTGCGGCTCGGGCGGCTCGAAGGTGGGCTCCTCCTGGTCGGAGTCCACCACGCTCCTCCGCAGGAAGCGCTGGTGGGCTGCTTTGGGATCCTTGGCGTAAGGCACTCGCAGGAAAGGGGCGGGGGCCGCGGGCCGGCCTCCTCGCGGCACTGCAGCAGGGTCCATGCCCGACGCGCTGCTGCCGCCGCCGCCTGCTCCATCAATATTCATACCCTTTCCACCCGCAGGAGCGAAGGCAGCAGCCGCGGCAGCCGATGGGAAGCCGGCGCGTTCTGCAGCGACAGCAGCTCCAACCTCGCCTCCCCGCCGCGGAGGTGCTGTCCTGGCCTCGCCCCCAGTTTCCATTACAGCTGAGCTCTCGGCAGCTGCCGCTAGAGGAGAAGGAGGTGGCGGGGCCGCCGCGGCCGTCGACGGTGCTCGTGCCGCCGCCGCTCGGTGGGAGTCATCACGGTGCATCCTTCCGGGGAAGCTCAGCCCAGCCACCTGCCAGGCGAAAGAGAAAGAGCGCGGTGAGGAGGCTGCGGGCCCCACCTGGCGAGGGACCAGGAGGAGGAGGCGGACACCTGCAAGGAGGGAATCGCCGCCGCCGCCCCCCAGCCAGACACGCAGGGCGCAACTCCGGAGAGGATCTCCTGACAGCCTCTCTCCACGCTCGAGGGCGTGAGGAGCGCTGGAAGGAGCATCAAATGCAGACGCTCCCGAGAGGCAGAATGATGGAGAGACAGGGACTCTCCGAGGAATTTTGCTAGTGTTGTCTCCAACTGCAGGTCCCTCCCAGGCAACTCGAATCAACGGCTCACCCCTTTCCTTAGCCAGGATCCCGGTTCCAACCTCGCTCCCCCCGCCCCCAAATCCCAGCCAGTGCCTTTCAGCCACGAGCTGCTCAGACCCTTCTGCAACTCCACGTTATCCGTCCCTTTAAAGAGCAGAGCGCAGTCTCCGTCGCCCAGCCCCCCCCCCCGCCATCCCCGCCCCCCTCTGCCCAAAGTCTCCAGCCGGGCTTCCCCTCTCGCCTCTCCCTCCGCCGCGACGCGCCCACGCAGAGCCTTCGAGACCCCCCTGGGCCGCTCACGCGCTCTCACCTCACCCCGGGCTTCCGCCTCCCCCGCCCCCTTTTGCCCACTTCAGTCATACTGCAGCTCCTCGGTGGAAAGCCATATTGAGGCTGGAAAATGGGAGAGGAGGGCGGGATGCGAGCAGCCGAGGCGAAGCTCGCCCGGCGGGAAGCCCCGACCGGACCTGCGGCTCCCCGACACCCCCCTCGCCGCGAGCTTCGAGCGGTAAAAAGACAGGCAGCGTCGCCGTCGTCAAATGAGCACGAGGACGGGGCTGGTCTTTCGCCCTGCCCAGCTCTGCGAGAGAAGCCGCCGCTTAGATAATAGCGCGCAGGGAGCACAATCGAGGCAGCCGCAGCGAGCCGGGCTGAGGGGGAGGCGAGGGGCTGCGGCGGCGGCGGCCGACGTCAAGTGCCACCACCGGGGCGCCCGCAAACCACGCCAAAGAAGAGGGTGTTGGCGGCGGGCGGCTGGAGGAAGCAGGTGCCTCGGCTGCACAATGGAGCTGCTCACCTGCGCAGCCCGGGAAGGGAGAGAAGGCAGGCAGGCAGGCAGGCAGGGAGATCTAACAACAAGACAGGTTCCTCGCGCGGACGGGGTGACTTACCAGGAGGAGAGGGGGCCCCCATCTTCACTGCCGCCCATGGAGGTTGGGGGCGGGCGGGTGGCAGAGGGACGGCTCGATTCTTCCGTTCCCAGTCATGGAGCCCCCGCAAGACGCGCGCCCGCCGCCGCCCTCACAGGCCGGGCTCTGCAGCCCCCGCCTCCCCTCCGCCGGGCAGCCTCGTCCTCTCGCAGCCCCCTCCGCCGGGGATCCTCTCGGCTTCGCGGCGACGTCCAAACGTCGTCTCAGGGGAGAGCTCCGGCGAGCCAACGGCCAGGCGCTGAGGAAAAGAAACAAGAATAATCCACCTCAGGCGAAAGAGCGCGCCTGCTCTCTCCCTCGCTGCCGCTGCCGCCGCCGCCTCGCCGAAGCCAGCGTGCAGGAAGCCTCGGCCCGCGCTTGCCCATGCGCCCCTCGAGCGCGTCCTCTTTTCCTCTTTCCCCCCCTCGGCGCTTTTGTCAATGGAAACTGCTCTCTAATGAGCGTCCCATTTAACGGACGGGCCGGGAGCCACGGGCATCGCCGAGCAGCCAATGAGAAGGGCTGGGAGGAGGCGGCCCCCTGCTAGACCCGCCTCGTGTCACCGGGGAATGAGGAGCGCGCCGGCTCGGCTCCCCCTCCTCAGCGGCGGAGAGCACGTCCCGACGACACACACCCCCGCCTCCCTCTCCCCACAGCGCGGTTGCCTATTTCGCTGCTTCTCCTTCTTATAAAATAGCCTTCTTGTCGCTTCGCTTCCAGTTCGCTGGTGGCAACTGTTTGCGCATGCCCTCTGCCCGAGCCGCAGCCCGTGCTGACCCTTGCCCTCCCGTGGGGCTGTAAAGCGATGGGGGCAATGGGGGGGTGAGGGCGTGCGTGCGCGCGCGCACGCGTCTGGGCTGAAGCGGCCACCGCGCGGAGCTGAGGGAGGCCTGGAGAGGGCGGGTCGTGACGAGCAGGCGATGCCAAGGCGCGGGTTTAGTCCTGCGAGTGGAAAGGCAACTGGGGGGGGGGGGGAATTAGGGACAGACTGAAAAAAATGGCGGGGTGAGGTCGGGAGGAGGAGGACGCGGGATGTTTCCATATGATTGTTGTGCTCTTCGCGGCGTGGTTTCCCCTGCCTGATGCAAGCTCGCCCCTCTGGGGACTTGGTTCGGCACAGCCCTATTTGCCATTTCCTCGGTGGGAGCTTTCTCCTTCCTCATAAATTGTTAGAAAACCACCTGCAGCTTCTCCGGGGCTGTTATTTATTTATTTCACGTCGCGCTTCATTCGGTGCACACGACGAGAAAAAAATGAATAAGCAAGAGAGAGAAACGAGTCGTGTATCCCAAGCTGTGGGAACACCCCATGACTTCTGCCGGGTTGCGCTGCTCTGCGCCTGCAGGGAGGGAAGGAGGGAGAAGCTGCTCGGATACGGCTGTGGTTTTCACACCCCGAGGGAGACCTCCTCTTTCCCTTCCGTCGGTTATTTAACATAAACGCTGCGAATCAAGAGGGAGTGGTGTCCGCACCCCCATGGGCCGCCGCTTGCTGCGCTTGAGCCAGAATGAGGGCACCGCCTCTGGCGGCTAATTTGGGGTGTCATGAAAGGGCAGTAAATTGAGATTTATTATTGCATTCTTATTGCTTGTGGGATTTCCTTATGGGATTTGGGGCATCAGGTGCTGAAATATCTTGGCCAGCCTTGGTTGCTATGCTCCTTGACTGGGGGAAGGGGAGCACCGTTTGCTCTTTTGCCTCAGGCAGCAAAGTGTCTTGGGCTGGTCCCTCCCCCCACCTGCCATTTGTTCCATCAACCCTTCTACCTTCACTGCCAAATGCAATATCCCTCAGAATATCAGGTGCTGCTAATCATAGGTGGGCAGAGTGGTTGTTGCACTCAGGTCCTGCTTGTGGGCTTGCCACAGGCATCACTCAGCACCTGGCTAGCTCAGTTGGTTAGAGCATGGTGCTCATAATGCCAAGGTCACAGGTACATATTCCTACATTGTGGGTGGTTGGACTAGATGATCCTCAGGGTCCCTTCCAACTTATCCTGAAAACAGGATTCTGGACTAGATGGGCTTTTGAACTGATCCAGCCAGGGCCCTTCTTGTGCATATTACCTATCTATCTACCTATCTGTCTATTAGTAGTGGACAAGATCTTGGGTGACCTGGCAGCTGAATCACTTCTGTTTACTGGGCAGAAGAGAGGGAATAAAGCAGCATGGGAGTTGGCACAGGGCAAACACACCAATGGGACCAATCCAGCTGTCCTGCTGGTGTGTTTGCACCACTACAAATTCCCCATTGCTTCACCCCACCTGCTAAAGAGCAGCAACTCAGCTGCCAGGAGGGTAGGTGAGTGCCACTGCCCCACCTTGCCATCCACTACATAGATGTAGATAGGCAGGTGCACGTGCTTCTAAGAAACCTGGACATTTATGCAATAATACGGATTGATTCCCCCACTCACCCTTAACTATAGTACCTAACTATAGCTTGAGTGTGACTTGGGTTGGAAAAGAGTAGTGCTCCCTTCCCATATGCTATGATCTCAAGTAACAATTCAATTCCATGTACCTGTAATTAATTCAGGAAAGAGAATATAGTAGTAGTAGCTGCTCACTACACATAAGAGTAACATGTAGTTCAGCCTCAGGGCAAAATTTGCAACCCAAATTCTCCTTATGTGTTTTCTCTAGAGAGAGAAGCTGAAGGGCAGAGTGCACAATACACACATTCCAGAGTGGGACTCCCTTCTAACTGGTAGATGGAAAGCCTCATTAGTCCATAGCCTCTCAGACTGGCTGCGATGAAATTACATCTCCCACTCTCAGTTCCTCATCTGCAAAATGCCTTCCTTGCAAATGAAAGTTAGGAATCAGGAAAAGATGTAACATTATGCCCAGAGATTTTTAAACATTATATCTATCTAAATAAAATAATTGGCCAACTAAGCATTCTCTGAACATGATCATTAGTTTTAATATCTGAACTGTTGTTATTACTGCTGATTGTACACTGCTACACATGCCACCTGTTTGTCAAGGAGTATGGTGTAAAAGGTTTGAAATGAATAAAGGTAAATGAATAATGGTAGCAAACAATATCTGAGCCAATCTGTTTGAAATGAGGACTGAGACTAGAAGTGACAACAAGGATATTCATTCTCTGTGTAAAAGAAAAAGAAATGTAACAATCCACTGAACATATTTTCTGAAAATTAAAAAAAACCATTACCTAGGCAACCACAGCTTTATTTTTCAAAATATACAACTAATTCTTCTTTTTAAATGAAAAACTTGAAGTTTAATCTGACAGATGGCTATTTTAAACTGTGTGGAAATTCTGGTGATTTCTTTGTTAAGAAATATAATTGATGTATTTGAGAATGCGGTGTTAATTGGTGCACTGAAACTTGTTAAGGACCAAATCATTTATCGTTATTATTTATAATTTAATATGAACCTTTTAAAAATTGTTTAGGCTGCTCCAGAATCCTATAGATTTTTGATAGTTAAATTTTGCTAAATGAGAAAATTAAATGCTTGGAAGTCATAGGCTGCCTTTTTCAATCCACTTATATGTGGGTGCTTTCATCCAACTTATATAGTGTGCACTGTCTGGAAGCCTGTTTGTCTGCACAGCTGTGTTCTCCTGAACCACTTGACCGGTTTAGGTAAGAAAAGCATCATCAGAACACTGAAAAGAAAGATAAGGCTCTGTTTGGAGGACCTGTGACTTTTAGTCTAGCAAAAAGGGTCATAAGTAACCTGCAAACACTCCCTTTCTCTTGGGACTACTTCCATCAGATTAGATATGCATAGGATTGCACTGTCAATCTTTATTTTTCAATGATATATGCTATCCTTGTCTAAAATGGCAGCTCCCTACTCCAGCCTCACTGGGCAAAGGGTCACACACGTGCCCAAGCATCTATTTCCCAAGCAACTATTTCCCAAGAAACAAATAAATTTGTCAATTAATGAATAACTTGCCTGTTCCTAGTGGGCAAACATTCTGGTGGGCATTTCTGTACTGTATCCTGCAAAATTATTCTGTAATTTTGCTAAATGGCAATATAGCATTTTATTTTTGCATTGGCTAGAATATTTTCTGGCCTTGGTTTTCACAAGGAAATAAAATGTATGTTTATTCACCTGCATTATTATTGCCTTTTGTTTGTCTGCCTGAAAACCCACATGGGTGTTTTCATACTTACCTAGGGTTCCATGTGTGGTTGGCTGCAATTCTGTCTTCCTTCTCAGCACTGCTGCTCTCAGAAAGTGATGACTGTTTCTGATTCTAGTTCTGAGCCTCTAATTCCAAAGTTCACTGTGTCTATTTCTGTTTTATGCAAAAGTTTTTCCGAGTTTCTGTATAAGATGCTAAAAATAACTAAAAGCTTATAATATTCCTTGCTAAAATTAATTTCAGTCTGATGTATGAATCATAGGACTTTACATATATAACTCCTTCAACCAATATGTTGGATGGGCTGTTATAACTAATAGGAACCTAAAGGGCTCCTCAAGAGATGCCAAGCGAGTGGCATTGAAGTCATATATATCCATTATCCAGCCTAAGAAACAGTCTTCATGTGCTTTCTTATATTGCTCTCCTTTGAGAGGCATTTTAAATGTTATGGCTTACATGTGGAAGCAACCAAACACATAGCACTTCCATATGGTGGTGTCAACATCTGAAAACCTATCACATATATGGCCACTGCCATTGCATATGGTATCTCCATGCCAATGGTGCACAGGCAGCAAGTGCTTTCATGGGGTCCACTGCATGTGACTGGGGAGCAAAATGGTACATTACAAATGAAACATGGGGGTTTCTAACCACCATGTTTCCTCTGTAATGCTTGTGTGGGTGTAGGTGACATTTGCAATGGCTACTTTCCAGTTCATGCTTTCCAATGAAACACCATTTTTTAAGAAAATGAATCCAGTGAGGATCTGGGAAATTATAGGCTGGTTAACCTAACATCTGCCCCAGGAAAACCTGCGAAAAGTATGGTTAAGGTGACATAATCAAGGCATACAGAAGAACGGGCCTTGCTAAAGCAGAGCCAACCTGTCTCATGTTGAGAGTGTCAACAAGGCTATAGATAGTGATGATCCAGTTGACACGGTGAATTCAGACTTTCAAAAAGCTTTTGACAACGTACCTCATGGCAGACCCCTGAGTAAGCTTAGTGGTCATGGAATAAGAGAAGTCATCTTGTGGATCAGGAATAGGCTAAGGAGCAGGAAGCAGAGACTAGAAATAAATGGACAATTCTCTGAATGGAGAGATGTATGAAGTGCAGTCCCCCAAGGACTGGTTTGGGACCTGGGACATCCAATGAGACTGAATGTGGAAGATTCAGGACAATTAAAAGAAAGTACGTATTTACATAGTACATAGTTAAACTATGGCATGTGAGCCCACAAAAGGTAGTGATGGTCATCAGTCTTGGAAGTAAACTCGGCTAGGGTAGAAAATGGCCTTGAGGATATTTGTTAAGGATAATTTATTCAATTTATTGCATCAAGCGGTTCAGGGAGGCATACATAGTCCCCTACCTCAGCACTCCCATTTTATCCTCGCATCAGCACTGTAAGGTAATACAAGCTGAATGACTGACCCGGTTCTCTTAAGCTTCATGGCTAAGTGTAGATTTGAACTAGGGTCTCCCTCAGTCCAGTAGTCTAACCACAGCAGCACACTGGCTCTCTATTGCTGAGTACTTACAGGGTTAAGTAGCCCTCTCTCACCTGCTGATCTTCTCCTGCATTATATCAGGAAATGTGCATTTGCAAAGGGATATTTGCCAAGATACAGTGTAGTTCTGTCCTGTGGCATGCATCTATTACTATCAGAAACACTGACCATCCTGAGATGCTGTCATTTTCAGTATCTATCACAGGAGAGGCTACAACATTATCCCCTAGAAGATCACCTCAATTGGAGATGGAAATGTGTTTGAAATATTTCCCCCGCCCCAGGATATGTATCCTTTATTATGTATTGTTAGCCTCGCTGGGAATTTATTTGAAGGGCAGGGTATAAATTTATCTAATTAATGAATCAAGATCATTCATTGATCACTTAAATACAAGCTTTATTTGCGTTTTCAATCTGGAGGCCAATTTTGTTTTGGCCTGTATCACTGCTAACTTTTGAAGTGGTCTTATCAGTCATCACTTATCAGATGTTCAGCATGCTCTTAGGCAATTTTGTGAGGGTGGGGCATATGCCTCTTGTGTATCAGAGTTAACCGAAGTATATCCCTGGTGTGCATCCCAGTGAAGTTTAAATCCCATATGCTTATTAAACACAAATAATAGATCATTTAATAGATGAGTGACAAAAACTGCAATTTATTTGCCACTTAGCCAGGAACAGACTCAGAGAGATGTATCCATAAGACAATGAGTTGTGACTTGGAACCAATTTATTAGGCAGAAGCAATATTTCTTATTATGTATTGATTGGCTGCAGAGTTCTGGCTGTTACATTTCCTAAATAAAATAGCATAGCAGGTTTAAATATTTGATGTCTTCTAGACTAGGTGGATTTCAAAGTAAAAATATTTCATACCATGTTCTTACTTTATCTGCATATTCAAACGCATTTCCAGAGACTCCTGCTGTTCGGTAGATGGCATTGACAGCAGTGGTTCATTTGGGATAAATTTTATTCATTAATTCATTTAAAAAAAAAAAATTAACCTGCCCTTCACCATAAGGTCCTCTGGGCAGGTTTCAAATGGAACAGAACCAAAGCCAAACAGGTGGATCCCTTAAGGAAAATACTTTAATTGTTAAATGCCTTTATGGTGAATAACTATGAAAACACCTAGTGATTCTGGCTTACTCAGTGACCTCTAGTGGTCAGGGCCTTGAGCAGGACACCAAAGGACGTCATCTGCAGTAGAGCCAGCCACATTGTTCATCCAGCCAGCCCAGTTCCGCTTGCTCTGAATGCTAACAGTTCTCCGTGGTTAGAGACAAGAGAT